CCCCAAAACCCCAAAACCCCAAAACCCCAAAACCCCATGACACTTAATTAAAAAATTAAAACTATTAGCCAGCTAATTAAATAAGAATAATTAGTAATCAACAAAATTATAATCATTTGGTCCTCTTTTATTTAGATGTGATGATGTGTTTCATCTCACTCAAAAGTGCATCTAACTCTGACTTGAAGTAAGAAACTTCTGCATTTTTCTTTGAAAGCAACCTTTGTTTATCAACTCTCTCCTCTTCCAGATCTTATTAGAGTCTTGTTATCTCCCTCTTGCAAGGACCATGTTCCTAATAAGTCATTTTATCTCGATCCTCACTTTACTGCTCCAAAAATTCGATCCTCTTCAAGACTACTGCAAGTTCATCAATGATCTCATTACTATCAATATCAGTACCATTAGTTTTTCTCATTGAGCCCCTGTGACCTACACTTTACCTTAAGATCCTTTCAACTCTTTGCTTTGATGATTCAAGCTTTTCAATTTTGTCCTGTAATTCTCTTTTCTCATTATTAAGCTACTAGATTAGAGTTTAAAGTCTATTCTGTTTATCTTACTAACCTTAAGATATTTCTTTATCTTACTACAGCTATCTAATCTGCTCTTTCAACCTTTAGACTTCTTCATTACTAATAGGTGGAGATTTATTCATGAAATTATCATTTGAGTATCTCGTCGGTACTTTAATTATTGATTCATTTGGGTTATCATTTTCGCTCATTTTAAATACATCTAGAGATACATCCATAACAACATTCACTAAATCAAATAGATCCAACTCATCTTACTTCTAATTATTCCCAAATATCTCCTCGCTATCTATATTACTTTTGTCCTTAACAAATCTTATCAACTGCTTTACCTCATCTAGTGTTACATTTTTTAGTGAGGGTTCTTCCTCTCTGAGTAGCTAATAAATTTAGTTAAGTTGCAATCTTTTTGGATTGAGCTATCTCTCTTTAACAGCTCTTTCGAAATCAAGACCACTTTAAACTATTAGTTTCATGATATCTTTTATTCCTCTTGCTTATTAAGTGTTATTTAGCACAAAAGGATGCGAGACTGCTTTTGGAGGCTTGCTTACAGGAGATTTCTAGACTTTATGATCTTCCTCAATGAAAGAATTCATTACACTTTAAATGTCCTTATTTGGGGTTATTGCTGAGTGTTAATGCTTTAACTTAAGATCATTGAATTAAAGTTAGTTAGAGACAGTTAAATCTGATTTACATAGATTCATGATATCTGATAATATTTTATCGTTTATTTAAGATGTTCCATTCAATTCTTAGGTTAGAGTTAGCAAGTTTTAGGATATTTATTTATTCTTAACTGGATCTTTACTCTTTATTTGTTCAATACAAGATAAGGCAGCTTCAATCAATGAAAACGCATTATCTTTTTGAGGATTTTATTTAATTAGATTTGAAATGCTAAATATAGCATTAATAGCATGCTTATTGTCATCTATCAAGAATGATGGAGTAGAATTTGGTTGATTTCCAGAGAATGACTATCTTCTCTTGTTATTTGCAGTTTCCAAATTTACTACTTTCTAAGCAAGCAAATTTCTTTCTTTTGTTATTTTATCGACTAACTCCTCATAGTGTTTATTATCAGAGACAACTATTGTCGGCTTGTCCTTTTAAGTCTAAGTGGTAGGAGGTTTAGATAAGCCTTTAGTTTTAGATTCCTCCTTATCTGGGATTCTAAATTTGTACTTATCCTCAATCTCTCTTATTCTTTTATTGTAGTAAGCTTTAGTTTTCTGTATTTCATCTTCAAGTTCTAAGACACGTTTAGCTTCTGGTGTTTAACCTGATCTCTTTTCATATAGCTGCTTCATTCTCTCTTATTCCTGTCTTAGAGTTCTTAGTTTCTTCTCATATTCCTTATCTTTATCTTCAAGTTATTACTCCAACTATCTCACTCTTTAATTATCGGAAGTGGAATTCTATTGCTTTTCATTAGCTACTGTCTCCTTAGCAGCTTAAATTAGCATAGGAATGCTGTTAGGATTTTTCGATTTGATTGTTTCTTCAAGTAACTTGCATTTTTTCTCAAGGTCAATAGTTCTCTTGACATCAGTTTCGAGTTTCTTTGATTTTTCTCTTAGCTAAGTTAGTTCTTGAAGTAGTGATTCTCTATCGGAATCATCTTCAGCAATCAATCTTTAATTTTACCTAAACCATTAGATCTTTTCCTCTAAATCCCCTATCTACTGATTTGTTTGCTCTTTATTTACTCTAAATTCGTCTCTTAACTTTTGAATCTCAGAATTTTTATCTCCAACGATGAATTCTGTATCTATGAGTTACTTTTCTAATGCAGTTTTTTCATCCCTAAGCTTATTAATTTATGCTTTCAATTACGATTCCTTGATGCTCATATCTCTTTCAAAGTCTTGTTTTTCGTTTTACAGTTTTTGCAGCTATTAATGCAGATCCTAAAGAGTTTTTTAACTTATTGCGTTGCCTAAGCCCATATTGTTTACAGTTTGAATGTCAAGTTCATCTTTGTTTTCTTCAACATAAACTCTATCTTGATTTAAAAGAGCTTTTTGCTGTAGGTCCTTTACCCTTCTTGTTTCATTGTATGCCTTTTCCTAGGACATTTTGAGATCTTTTTCTAGTTATTTAATCTTAACTAATGCTTTTTCATTTTCATCTTAGTAGCCTTTCACCATTAATTCTAATTGTTAGAGTTCTCTCTGCAACTTGACTTGATCTTCTTTTGAAAGGTCATTCTTGATATTTCTAAGGTTAATATTCTCCTACTAGACTTGATAAGAAGAAGATAATTAATGCTTAAGCATGTCTATTTCTTCCTGCAGTTCTTTCACCTTTTTATTAGAATCTCTTCCCAAGATGAGACTCTTGTTCTCTACTTCAAGCTTGGTGACTTTTTGCATTAAGTAATCAACCTCTTCCTGCATCTCTCTGCATTTGGATTCTATTTCCTCTTTCTCAATCATTTGCTACCTCCTCAAGTCAGTGACTTCTCTCTGTTCATTTTTGCCTATTCTAAACAATATCCTTTCCTCTTACAGTTTAAGTTTTCTATCGTATTCCGCTGAAGCGAGTTTCAATTCATCTTCTTTGTTTCTGGTCTTAGCATCAGCCAAATCGATTTGCTTAATTAACTCCTCCACTTCCATCTTGTAAAGAGTGTTCTTGTGAATGGAGTCCTTTAGTTATTCTTGAAGTCTCTTAGCAGTCTCAGTTGCATCCATGCTTTCTCTTCTCATAGTCTGGTAATCCAGGTCTTTCTTTTTTAGTTGAACTTCTAGTTCTTTGATTTTATCCTTTTACTCTGCATTTGTAGTTTTCAAATCCTGAATTAGATTCTCAGCATCTTTAAGATTTTATTGTAATGACCACTCTTTATAAGTACCAGTTTACTGTTAAGGAGTCATAAAATCATACTTGGTCTCATCTGTCTGAATGAATTTATTTTCCTTTTTCTTGTATTAATCAGCTATGCTCTTATATTCTGGAACAACTTATGGTTTATACTCGAATGTTTTAGTTTGATTGTTTGTATTTGTGCTTGTTGCAGCCTTAGAGTTGTTACTTTTTGGGTTAATGTCTTTTGGGCTTTAAAGCATACTTGAAGTCAGAGCAGTTTGGCTTTTTGACATCGACTCAAAATCTTCGTCATAACTTTGACTCTCACTGTTATCGTAGTTTTAGACTTTCTACTTTTACAATGGTGGCTAGTTTTACTGTTGTTTTTTCATGTAAGCCTCCATAGCATTTGCATCATATTTATCTGAATCAGTCTTTTTAGGAATCACTTTTTCTTCGTCTTTCCCTTTGAATGCTTCTTTTCCAGGCCAGTGAACAAGCTTTGACTTAGAGCCACTTCCACTTGCACTAACATCCTCAAAATCATCTGATTCATAAGAATTAGAATCAGCAAGTTGAGCCTTGGTTGAACTAATTTTATCTAGTTAATTAATTGGTGCTTTTCCTTAATTGCTTAACTGAGTTTAATTTGGCATTGATAAGGAGCTAGACTCTCCTAGGCTATCTTCTATGTGTTTTTTATTCGATTCGTTTAACGCTTACATCTCCTCCAGTTATTCCCTTTACTGTCTCTCTAGCATTTCAAGGATTTTCTCCTTGTCACTCCTACCATCACTAAGATCTTTTTCTGCTATTACTTTTTTATCTCCAGGTCTGGGAGATCCTCTTCCACCGACATTATCTTTATTAATGAACTCAGTTGATTAATCACTGTCTAGTTTTTCTACTTCATAAGTAGTACTTTTACCAAAGGAGACACTCCTCTTTCTTTTGCTCTCATCTTCATCCTCCTTTTTCTTTTTCTCGTCAAAATCTTTTTTTAAGTTTGACTTGCCAGCTGATGCAGCTGAAGAGTTTTTTTTAGATTCAGCTTCCTTCTTTTTTTCTTCCTCTGTTTTATGTTCATATAGTTTTGCAGGAGGCTCTTACTTCTTTACTTTATTCAAATCAATGGCTATGTTTGCATAAGGATCATTTTCAACAACAGCGCTAGGCCCTACCCCATAAAGACCTCCTGCAGCTGAGGCACTACCAAATGCCCCGATTCCTCCCATTGATGAAACCTTCCCAAATTAAAACAAGCCAGGATTAGAGTTCTGAGTGGGTGGAGCTCCAAATTGAGTACCTCCAGTTAATGGACTTGTAGTAGAGGGTGGACCAAATAAATTTCCACCTTAAGATGCCATTCCATAAGTGAATCCACCACCAGCAGGTTTCTAACTTCCCATTCCTCCTACAAATGCACCTGCTCCTCCACCTATTCCTCCATAAGTGTAGCCACCACCACCTTAAGGCTTTGCTTATTATCCATAAAAAGGGACTCCACTTGCCGAGGTCATAGCTACTCCCATGCCCATAGGTCCTCCTGGCATACCCATTGGGCCACCTCCCATCTTAGGCACTCCTTAAAATAGAGATCCAGGTGGATAATTTTAAGCATATTGAGCATCAATATCATCTGAATCATCTTCCTCATAATACATTCCATACTCATCAGCATCTTCGTCATCATCATAGTCTTAATCATGCAAAGCGTAGTTATTCTTGTAGTAGTTTCCTCCCATTGGAGCACCACGACCTCTTCCGTAACCTATATATTTATCAAATTTTTATGCTGTAAGACTTACTCATTTTCTTAAAGCTGTATTTTGAATTTAAATTAAAGTAATTAGTTTCATTTTATTTTGAGACATTATTATATCAGTCGGGGTTTTGGGGTTTTGGGGTTTTGGGG